TCTCTCTCTCTCACACACACACACACACACACACACACACACACACAGACAATATGAGATGAGCAGGGGACAAGACAGGACAGAAACTTGTTACTATGGTACCAAGTATACATGATCTGTCATATTATTACTCTGTGGTTAAAAGGACTCGAAATTCAAAGTTTAGGACTTGGGACTCGACTTGGGACTTGGAGACAACGACTTGAGACTGACTTGCAAAACAATGACTTGGTCCCACCTCTGTCAATAAGACTATACTTTTTCTAACCTTGAGTGCCTAAACATAGCCATGTGGCATAGTTTCAATTTTAGATCAAGAAAAAAGTAGCAACATGACAATTTTCAAGGTTTACTTGTGAAACTAGTACATTTTGTGATGCAGATCAACTTAGCTATTGTACAGTTTGCTGTTAGACTGGGTTGTACAATTTTATGAGGACAGACTTGCAGCTTGGCTTTTTATCAGTTATTTTCTAATGCATTGCTAATTTTTTTTTATGTAAATTGTTGTGAATTCTGAGAAAGTGTGAGATCCACTGTCCTTCATTGCCTGCAAACAATAGCATTTTGTTGTAGTGTCCCTGTCCTGTGTCTCCCTGGAGCCTGGGGCCATAAAAACTGACAATAACACTAACTATCAAATGCTGCAATTATCTGTTATTTCAGGAGGAGAACAGCATTATTTGAAAAAGAACTACTTTGTGAGATCTGAGATGTGTTACAATTGATTTATACTTTACACATAAATTGTAGTTTTCATATCTACTTGTACTTATGTTTGAATCAGAAGTAGTTTCCAATACATGTGTATATAAGAAAGTCACTTTTGGCTTTTCCCATTTAGGGGTTGCCACAGCGAATTGTCACACTGACGACTCGCATGTTGACATTGGGCACATGTTTTATGCCGGATGCCCTTCCTGATGCAACCCTGATTCGAACCTGAGCTGCAGCGGCGAGAGCACTGCACCTTAATCACTAGCCTATATAAGCAATGATATTTCATTTTGTATTAGGATCATTTCATATGTTACATTATATTTTGGTATGGGGTTTACTTTTGATACATACATTTCATCTTTGATAAATAATCCTTTGATTCTGTTTCCCAGTGATGAAATCTAATTGTTTTCGATAATGTTTCAGACCGCAGGAGTTCCTCAGGTTGATGGCTTTGATTGTTTTAGTATGGTATTCTTTAGTTGTCTTACTCATGGTTTGAATTATTATGTTTGGTATTTACATAGTTTCATGTTTTTCATTTATCATGTTGTCTTTAACCATACTAGTGAAAGAAATAAAAATCATCAGTATGTATGATGTAATCTAAGATAAGTTATGCTGATTGTTGATTTGTTCTAAACAATTTATTACCTGTATAGTAATCTTGATAACTTTTTACTTCATATCTTGTATTCACTATATGTTAAAGTTGCTGATGTGACAATAAGATGGTGGTGATGTGGTAATGTTGCTCAGTGGTGAAAGCTTGTGACAAGGCTGTGGTTTGAGGAGAGGTTACAGGAAGGGACAACAGTTCACTTGGACAGTCACGTATTGCCCCAATAGAGGTCTTAGTTTAAGAGGAAAGGCACACAGTGCAGACCATGGCGCAAGTTTCCATTTGCTGTGAAGGTCCTCCTTTCCATCTGGTTTTTCTTCCTGTTGGAGGCGATGTTTCTCTGATGAGTTACAAAAACAACTATGCATGCAAAAGATAAAGTGGTTACCATACTGCATGGGAGTAACCTATACAGTGGTCTGTTACTTCACGGTTGGGTGGTGATACTGGCTCAATCCTGACAATTTCATACAAATTAAATGTACCAAGTATTTTCAAGGCCATAGCACAGTTTTTGATTCCAATTTTTTAGACTGTGCTACTTTTCTACCACCTGACACAGCAATAAAAAAAACGGTGTGAGCTCAACACCTTTTTGAAGGCTGTGACAGGAGGATAACAGTGGGTGGAAACCTTAACATTGACTTCCAATATAAACTCCAGCTCACTTTTGGTTGTTGGGTCACAGGTAGCTTTTATATCTGGCTATGTACAATACTTGTATGTTACATCTTTATTATTATCAAAATGAAAGGCTCTTTTTTTTATTGTTTTGTCTTTAATCAACCAACTCAGCAGGTGTAAATGTCTGTTCAGGTGTTGCTAATTTTGCTTTGTCACTGCTCCTGGTTGTCTGCTCTCATGGTATCAGCTGTTACAGTTTCAAATAAAAATAAACAACACAAGGCAGTTTGTACCTTTTAGAGAAACTAAACTGGGATGTTAGCATGCTTCCCAGAATGCATTGTTTGAAAATAAAATTGCTCCACAGACTTTTTGAGACTTTATACTTCTGGCCATAAAATTGATGTTTAAATTTGAAAAACTTAAAAGGAGGAAAAATGTTCAAAAAATACAAATATTTACACAGCAGATCATTTTAATTAAGATGAAGCATATTTGTAAGTTCAAACAACTACCTCAGTAAATTAAATCTAAATCAACCAAAAATACCAACAGACATTATCACATTATTTAATGAAGATACAGTAACATGTTGTTGGGGTAGAAGAACACTTTTTTTACGTGATTCAAAATTAAGGCTCTCATTCATATTTTGATATTTAAACAAAAAGTTAGTGGAACTAGTGTGGTCAGGATTTCATCAATACTATTTCAGTATTCATCTTCTCCTCCACACTATGCCAACTGTGTACTACCACCAATAGCTACCTAAAAATCCAAATTCCAGAAAAGTAAATAAAAACTGTAATCTGTGATTTGTTCATTTGCTTGAACCTTTTGTTACAAAGTATTAAAGGGTGAACTTTCAGAACCACCCCATGAGCTCACTTTTCTCTAGGATCATAGACAGTGTTTTGTTTGTGTGTGTGATCACAAATATATTTGTTAATCACTGAATTTAGCAATTATGATCATGCATTTTGCATAATATTTACTTACGTATAATCACTGTGCTTTACATATTTGCTCTGGTAGCCTATGTGTATGAGTGTATCTTACTAGTCACATAGTAGTAAACACAGATGGTGGTTAAGAATGACCATAGTAGTGTTAGCATTAATGATTTATGATTTAATTCATCATTAACATCTTTTATGTTTATGCTTATGATTTCATAATATTGTCTGTGTTAAAAGCACAGATTCATACAGGTTGTGGTTAATGCATCACATGTGGTGATGTCCTTTGTAACTTGAACTAGTTGCATCCTGTTCAATCTCAAGAAAGCAAAAGCAAAAGTAGCTTGATTAAAGTGAATATACAAAACACACACAGACAGCATGTTTGTATCAGCCCTCATAAGAATCCTCCAACAAATGAGGACTGAAGTAATGCATGTTATAACCTTACAAGGAGTTGTTCTATGGACAGAGGACTTTTGAAAAAGTGCCCTTTTACAACATACACTGAGCTGAAAATATCTGAACATCTGAGCATACAACTGCTCCCTCCTCAAACCTTATGGAGGATGATTTTTTCCAACATTCACAAGAAAATGAAAAAAGAAAAAACATTTTCCAAATGGAAAATAAAATAAATGCCTGTTTTCAATTTTCCAAATGTCTTATTTTCCATTTTCCCTAACCCAGGGGTGGGCAATTAATTTTTACAAGGGGCCA